ATTCTAGGACTTGCGGCACAAAACTTATTTAAAGTCGTTCAAAAGCAAACACTGCAGAGCATGCTCAGTTCATTATTTAGCTTTCTAGACATTTTTGAAAGTAAGTGACAGAGAGCCAACGTAAAAATACTCCATGCATATTTTTGGTTAGAGGCACTAAGTTGTCTCATCTTCAATTAAGGCTAGCCAGACACTGCAGTCAAAAATAAATACCATTTAGGAAAACGCAGATCAGCGTGCACTGCAGTTTCACATAATGCAACTGGTCTTTGGCTGTTTCAGCGACATGTTGCAAACGTTCCATTTCAATAGTGAACTCATGCATGCTAGAAACCGTTACATACCTGCCAGTATTCGTCTGACAATGGACTGAGATCCATGCGACGATGATCTTCACCGGCCCCAACTTCACAGGGATGGTTTGGTGGTCCCAAGGGGTGGTTGGGCACCTTCCTGCGGGGACGGTATGGCCGACCCACCCAGAGGTCCTTGCAAGTCTTGACGTGGATCGATTCATCCTGTCGGTCCCTCAGACGCTCCAACTTACGACGACAATTTCGCGCATCGGCTGCACGCATAAGCTCCGTTGCATACGTATTCAGCACTCCTGGAATCCTGCAGGTCTCGGCGGCGAAAAGACGTTCGTCCTGGTCGGGGAACTAAAAGAAGGGGGAACAGATATTGAAGTAGCCACCTGGTAAACACACTGAAATAATCGGTCATTTTAACTACACTTTCATGGGTGATTGATAGGTAGTCAAGATAACTTGTCAGCTAACTGAAAATGCGAAATAAGTATGTAGATAAATGTGACACTTTTGAAGTGGAGATATCTAGTGTCGAAGCAGAGATGTCAGTGATTTTCAACCGTGATAACAGCCTGGGCGTGACACAGGGAAGTAAGAATGGCAGGGATTCATAAACCAGTTTACCAGTTCTAGGGTAATGGGAAACCCTAATCGGTATATTTATGGTATTTAGATTTAAATACAAATATCTAGATATCTTTTGTTGGAAAATAGGTTAGAATAACAGGTTTATGCGTTCATTCACGCCAAAAATTATGCAGTTTGTCAGAGAAAAATAAACTTAACTTTAACATGTCTGTTGGAAAAACTCTAAACTTTCTCCCATGGTCATTAATTTTTAGAAACAGACTGAACAAAACAGAGACCGTACGGGCCGCAAATTTGTTTGCTTCCGAATTCTGTCGGAACGAGCCGGACATGCAGAAAACAGAACCATCGTTGTCGTGTTAATAAAATTTTCAAACAAACTTTCATTTAATTTTATGATAATGCTTTCGGAGTGTGCTTCGCAGCTGGATAAACTGTTGCACAATATTTTCTGTTATATTACTTTAAAATATAGGACATGCCACTGGAAAACGAATATGTTTTCAGCCAAAATATTGCTTAAGAATTTGGACAGAGGAATTGAAGTAGTATAGAAGAATACACAAGGCACACATAATTCGACTCTAATTAAATTTTTACTTTTCCTATTTCTCTCTTATTTCCAGTTTTAAGGTAAGAGACACTTTAACTGGAAGAATAATATAAGTTAAGCCATAAAGAAAGCCTACGTCAAGATATGCGTTACGATTCATAAATCGATCGTGTTGTCTTGCTTGCAGTTTATGCATGTTCATCACATCTGATGACGATAAATGTTGATTTAGGAGTGCACCCGTGCGTTCGTCCCTCGTGGGCCGTCCACCCCTGTACCTTTGTATAAGCTGTGCGAACGACTCGAGCTACCAAAGAGAAAATAAACTGTTTAATGGGAAGCAAAGTGTTTACTGAAGCATAAATAGTAGTAATGCAATTTGCATTTCACAAGCTAACGCAATGACATGGCCCACGCGAGAGCGGCTGCAAGTTATATTGCATATACCATTTACTCCTGTGGGGAGAGTATATTTCTGGCTAACCAGCTAGCTCAATGATATGGTTCTCTTGGAGGTTGTACCGTGTAAAACTTCGTAGCCTGTGCATATCCTCTAAGCATTTTAGCCTCATAATTGAAGTAAGCAGTTTTGATCGAGTTTGACTGGAAAACAGCGCTCTTGACAAAAAAGTGTTTTTAATAGTCAGATCGCATCAAAACTTCCTTTTTGATCAAAAAGACTGTATTCGTGGTATGATTAATCGATTAAAAGGTAAAAAACATTTGTCAGTAGTCAATTTCTAGGGCTGTCCTAATTACCGTCCCCAAAATCGGAGAGTATGTAAACGTATGTTCATAGTCGGTCTACTTTTGGTGCGCTTGAATTTGCGAAAATATTCTCTATTAATATATGTCTTTAAAGAACTTTTTAGCCACATATTTCTTTCACTTTTATTAGAGAGGTTGACAAATCCATATATCTAACAGTGAACCACTACGGTAGACTGATATCGGTGCATGCAAATAAAGACGCTTAAACGAGCACTGCTTTAAAAATAGTATCTTAGGAATCGGACGCACTTACACTTTCTTGTGTCGCCTTCTTCGCTCGCACTTGGGTCTTCTTTTCAATGATTTCCCTTCCTGAAAACAAACAGTCTCATTTATTCGAAGTAAAGGACATTAAAAATCAGTAATTTATAAAAAATTTTTAACTCAGGGCTTTTTTTGGAGTTCAATATGCACAACTCGATTCCCGAATAAACTTCAAGTGTGTGCTCTCAAATATTGGCTGATCTGTCTGGTTGAAACCGATACAAATTTTTCAGTCGACAAAAATTATCACCAGCCCCAATATATTTTATTTGTGCTTTCTGAAGCCAACTATGCAAAGCGCAATACTTTTTGCTCACCGAAGGTGACTTGCTGGCAACCAGTTGAACTAACTAACAAGGAAGACAATCATAGCATAGACGAACAAATAAAAGTGAACCAGTGATTGGAAGTCACCTGACACTTTATATCATTATCAAATATAAAAGTGGCACTCGTGTAAGTGAAAAATTTCTAACCCCCAACTCTGGCGATACACAGTATTTTATTTTTGATATGCGTTTGAAAGATAAACTAAGGAAATTAATTGGCTGTCTTATGTACAACGTTTAATTTGATTTTTTAGCCAATTGCATACCCTTTGGAACAGAAAGTGGATATATGAATTCTGCTGGCTGTGTGGATGGCCAGATATTCCTGTTGTGTACTTCAAAGTGGCTATCGAAGTGTTCCAACAATATGGCTAGAGGCTGTCCCAAAGTGAATGCCAAAACATTCACCCTAGTTAAGTTATTATTGGTTGTTATCATTATATATAACATCTCTTTTAAAGAAGCATTCTTCACAAACAGTACGATGAAAGGACAGAACTAAATGGGCACAATTTATGATAAGCTCTGAATTATGTAACAGCCAACTAGTGAGTGAAAAGTCATAGAGTTGCGAAAATGGCTATGAAGATATTCAGAAGACTAGTTGGCAATCATCGATAAAATCTCCTAAGGCTAGTATTTTTATAAAAAAAACTTGGTCGAGTAAAATCCGTCGGTGCTTAGATAAATCGATTAAAGCGCGTGGAAATATGGGAGGGGTAAGTAATAGGGCGAAGGGCCAATAAGAGGGAGTGAGTTTGCGGACAGTAAGGTTTATGGAGACACATGCAAGGGGGAAGAGATAAAGAAAGCACTGAAGGGCCGGGCGATAATCAGCAAAGAGCAAACGTTTGCTCGCTAGCTAGTCCTCTGATTTCTTAGAGAGTTTAAAAGTTGATAAAGGCAAGTGTTATGGACGAGTAATTTTGAACAGAAAATCTACATCAGAATAAACCTTTAATTAATGGAACGTCCTATTATCGTGCCTTTTAAATATTTACACAAGTTCAATTATGAAAATGTGAAATAGGTGGAAAATTTGTGGATACGTAGTACAGAATAATCCTTTTTATGCACTAGGCCACTATTTCAATAGGTACATACCTGTTTATTTTTGTACAGCAAACTGTTGAAAATTTATTCTTAAAGTGCCCGGAT